CAGCAACTAACTGTTCACATTTCTTGCAGGAGATACAAGCAATACAAGCCTATTGAGAGGAGTGCAGAACAAACAGAGAAGCAGGAGGGATTTACTACTTACTTCAGCACTTTCAAAGCCATTTTCTTCCCTAATAGCACTGAGAGAAATCCTCTGCTTAAGAGTAAACCAGGCATTGTTTAAACCTTTAGTGTAAGACTGACTATTAGATTAAGTACAGAGCTTGTATCTGAACTGTACTTTAATGGGGCTTTCTTGTTGTTATAAAAAAACCCCAGGGAGTAAGGTGAAAGCACATATAGACGGGATGGTAACTTTTGGGGCTTGGTGCAATTAGCAACATTAAAGTAGTCTTTTATAGAAAAACAAGGAGATAGTTTTAAGCACTTGCTATTCTTGCTTGTGATGTAGAATACACTCTTCTGAATTACTAATACCCCCCCCCACCCCCACACCCTTATCTGGCTTTTCTTATTTCTAGGTTAACAACCTGCAAAATTAATCACATCCACAATCGGAAAGGGGGGAGGGGAAAGAGGTTAATTAAAAAAAAAAGAAGACAAAAACCCCCAACAGCCAACCAACTTGTAAACTGTTTTTATTGTTGCTTACTGCCTTAGCAGGATTAATGTCTTTGCTGTAAAGAGAGACATGGGGGGCAAGCTCGTGTTGTGTCTGTGGAATGAAACGTGCCATGGCCTATTCCCAGGCATTGGCACTGAACTGCTGCCACTGTCACACTGCTCAGGAAGCCCTTGCACAGACTGGCCCCAGGCGAGCCAGCTCCCCACCAAGCAAACCCCAGATTCTGGGAACCACCAGAGGCACAGCCCCCCACTGTGAGTTTGGCAGCAGCCACCATGTTTTCCAGGGTTCAATAGCATGGGTGCAGCTCATTAAATGCCAGTTGGCCTCAGGGCCAGAAAACAGGGCTGGACACACTCAGCTTCCCACTGGACACGGCTACCAGTGCATGAGTCTCACTATAAACTAGAGCACAGGCACCCAAGCAATGAGATGAGGCTCATGGGCTTGGCTCTCCCTGTTGAAACTTTGAGCCCCATGTAAAATTCTGAGTTGCAACTACTGATGCTGCCTTTGCCTCCTTTGCTTCCATTGGTCTTGAGACACTGGACTGGCACCAGTGCTCCCAAGGGGCAGACATGCTCCATGTCCAATGAAGGGTCAGCAGAAGAAGGGATCTAGCAGGAAGGGGTAGCATTCAGCTGCCTTTTCCTCTTCTTGTTTCATTTCTGCCTTTCCTGCTGTAAAGACATAAATTTCTGATTGCTCCTCCATCCCTCTGACCACTAAATCAAGTAAAAGAAAACGCCAAGATAAATAAAATGCTCTACTCCAGTTTCTGCTTTTACATGATGCACCTTAGAAAATGTAAATTTATGCAAAATCAATGTGCCTTCCCTTGCTCACTCGAGCTCCAATTCTGTTAAAAGAACTCATTCTGAGGCCTTCCACAAGTGATCTGGCCTCATAGCCACACATGCTTATCACTCAGCATCATGGCATTTCACAGTGTGAGATGAGCACAAACTGCTGAAGGCTGTCTCACTGGATGATGAGAAAAGGAAGGCATCTTATTTGCAGAAAGAGAAGAGGTTGATATAAAGGTTCACAGAGATGTGCAAGCAGACCAAAAATTCTTTATAGCTTGTTTCAATAAACTCCTTTGTTGTTAGCAAAGGTTATAGCTAAAAACGGAGGCTGGGCAAATGACCTTACACAATCCATTTCTAAACACTGAATTATTTGAAGATCTGTATTTCAATATAATTAGCTTATTTAACATGTCTTGAAACATCTCTGATACATACTGTTTTCTGTTCCTGTGGGAAAACTTATAAATACACTTTCCTAGTGTTTTAGCAGATCTTCCAAATGCTTATCATTTGTAATCTGAATCTAGTCTTCACTGCCCCTTCCCAGTGTGCACAGATACCTTTCAATGACTTAAGGATATTTAAAAAAAAAAAATGCAAATCCCAACATACCTGTGAGATTAATTCTTTAGCTCTAAAATTCAACTGCCCATTTTCTTCTTTTGTTTCCAGGTTTTCCCATTATTTTAATTCTTTTGTGGCTATTTCAGTTATATTATTAAAAGCAGTGTATTTGCTATTGTTCCCTCTTCCTCATATATAACATCCTCTTTTCTAAGAACTAGCAACTCAAATTATTTTCTGACTTAAACAGGAAACATATTTTCTGCAAAAATTGCTGTTTAAGTGTTATGTCCTCTGTTATCAGTCAGGCAGGACTGTAATTTGTATTTGTTGCTCTAGCTTAAGGCAGGACAGGGGTTTAGTGGAAAGCTTAAGATGACCTGTAATGAAGCATGAAAACATAAAATCTGTCACAGCTTAGGATCAGTGAAGATGCAGGCTACCACCTGGGCTACGTGCAGAAAACATCTTGTTTCTGTAAAATACTGCATTTTAGATGCTCAGAGACATCTTAAGCTTTTGCAGAGAAAACAGCTTTCAGGCATATGTTAAGAACTTTTTTATACTTTAACCTAAGTATTAGGAATATCTTGCACTATCTCCCTTTAAGTGCCATGTCAGAATACTACATATTTATATGATGATTTTGCCTTTTCAGCTGTAACTTCTATTTCATACATCTTTACTTTTATACAATGGAATTTAATTGCTGCACTGACAAATAAACGATGTAATGATTTTAAAGAGTTCGCTGCTTTGTCTCAGAACGACAAACTGCAACATAAGCAACTTGATGAGTTGCCCAGTTATTGATCAAAAGAGTGTCTACCTCCATAAAACACAGGATCTGCCTTACCCTCAGTTCACACCTGCCTCTACCATGGGTTACCAAGCTGATTTTGCAGTCTCCCTTCAAGTGTACTCAGAGCAATGGCACCACAAACCTGAAAAGCAAGGAGATTTTCTTAACACCCAGATGACACAATTTCAGAACAGATCAGGATACAAATGAGCTTCATGTCCTTCAAAGGCAAGAACAGCTGACAAACAACAGATTTGTGAATGTCAGCAAATGTTACAAGACAGGTTTCAGGCATTCCCTTTGGAGAAATAACATCAAGAATGACATCAAAGATAAATGTACATTGTCTTCATAGAAAGAACACCCTTTCAAACATGTCTTCAAGAGAAACAGAAACATCAGTTGGGTAGCAAGTTTGTTAAGAATTGCTTTTAAAAATGAGCTGTTATTTCAAGCCACTTATTTTGTTCCTTCCCCCTTTTTTTTCTTGAATATTTTTTATAGCACACAATTAAGGCTCATCAGATGTGGCATTTTTTTCTTACCAGAAGTATTTCTAAGTTGAAACCAAAGCTAAAAAACACCAGACTTTGAAGGAATTGTAGAGGAATGAAACAAAACTTTGCAAGAGTCATCCAGCCACTGTGGCTTATTAGTACAATCAATTCCAGCTTCATGCAGCATAGTCAAATTTTCTTCAATGATAAAGCTTGTATCACTACAGCTCCTTATAATTCACACAGAATTCCATAATCCCAGATTTGTTAGGTTGGAAGGGACCTCTAGAGATCATCTAGTCCAGACCCCCAGTCAAGTCAGGGTGCCCTACAGCAAATGACACAGGAGATGTGTCCAGGTGGGTTTGGAATGTCTAAAGAGAGGGAGACTCCAGGACCTCCCTGCGCACCCTATTCCAGTGCTCCACCACCCTCAATGTAAAAAAGTTCTTCCTCATGTTTAGGTGAAACTTCTTTTAGTTTATGGTCACTGCTCTTTGCCCTGTTGCTGGGCACCACCAGAAGGAGTCTGGCACCGTCCATGACTATGTCTCTTAACCCTTAATATCATTATTTGACCATCATACTTAGTGAGAGTGGGAAAAACATTCCAAATGGCAATTCTCTTAGTGTTCCTGTAAATTCCAGGATTTCCAGAGGAAGGAGGTGGAGGGATATGTTTTACCCACATTAAATACAAATGCTTAAAGTTCATAATTTCTTGACAACTTTCTCCATAGGAAGCCAAGCATAACAAGACTACTAACCTGTGCCCATTAACAACACCATGCAGGAATTACACAAACAGAAAACATGTTCCACATGAAAATCATGTTAGTTTCAAACACGGTGCAGTTTTTTAGGCAAAATTGTAGTCTATAAAAGGGGGCAAAAGGCGTGACCTGGGCTATGTGGTTTAGGTGTATATGGAAATGCCCATGTACTGTACCTGCCCCTTTCCAGCTGCCCAACAACCCTGCACAACACAGCAGGAATGATCTTCCCTCTCAAATCCAGACATGTCAAACCATCTTTAAAATTGATGGTTATTCAGCTGTCCTCTGGCCCATGGTACCACAAAGCCTGCTTCAGGGTGTATCCCCAGGTTAACCAGCATCTTTTTCTGGCTCCAGAATCTATCGGCCAGACGAAAGCTCAACAGATCAGCTGCACCTGGCTGGGCGGACAAGCGAGACCACAAGGTTGAGGAGCAACAGAACAATGGGAAATGGCTTCAAATTGAACGATAGTAGGTTTAGGTATTAGGAAAAAAGTTCTTTACTGTGAGGGTGGTGAGGCACTGAAACAGATTGCTCAGAGAAGTTGTGGATGCCTCATCCCTGGTAAGACTAGGTTGGATAGGGCTCTCGGCCACCGTCTAGCGGAAGGTGTCCTTGCCCTCGGCAGGCAGAGGGGAGCTGGATGATCTTTAAGGTCCTTTCCAACCCAAGCCTTTCTACGCTCCCGCGATCCCGGGCGAGGCGGAGCGCCCGCCCCGCTCCCAGCGGCCGCTCCGCGCCGCGGCCCGACGGGCAGGCGGCTGGGCCAATCAGACTCGGAGGCGGCCCCGCCGCCGGCCAATGGCGGAGCGGCGCGCCGGGAGGGGCGGGGCGCGGGCCGGCATGTGGCGGGCGCTGGCGGCGGCCCGACGGGCAGGCTGCTGGGCCAATCAGACGCGGGGGCGGCCCCGCCGCCGGCCAATGGCGAAGCGGCGCGCCGGGAGGGGCGGGGCGCGGGCCGGCATGTGGCGGGCGCTGGCGGCGGCCCGGCCGCTCCTGCGGCCGCTCGGGGCCGGGGGCGCCCCGCGGGCGGAGCCGCCGCTACTCCGGGCCCCGCCGCTACTCCGGGCCCCGCCGCTACTCCGGGCCCCGCCGCGTCGGGGCTGCGCGGCGACGGGAGGCGGAGGCGGGCCCGGGGCGCTGGGGGCGGCGGAGCGGTGCCAGCCGGCAGGTAGGGCCCAGCCCGGGGCCGCGCTGCGGCGGTGCCCAGGGGACGTGGAGCGGCGTGTGACGCCTCCTGAGGAAGGGGCTGCCCGGCACGGCGGAGGATCCGCGCCGTGCCCAGTGCGGTGGGGTCGGCCGGGAGCGCGCAGCCTGCCGCGGAGCGCGGAGCCGCGTGTGAGGAGCTGCCGCCCGGCCGCGGGGCTGCTGGGCCGGGCAGCAGCCGCCCCTAGCTGACAGCCTCACGACGCCTGCAAGGCCGGAGGGCGCTGGGTTGTGGCTGTAGCTGCCCAGCAAAGCTCCTCTAGCCCGGATCTGACCGTGACCAGCAGTGCCTGGGGATGTTTAGGACATCCGTTCTCTAGGCAGGCTCTGGAGACTTCTCGGGCAAGTTTGTGACTTGTAACTGCTGTGTCTGGAGGACCTGTGGCCATTGCTAATTTTCAAGATGCGTGACCACAACAAAAAATTGAAAGAGTGCCCTGAGCTGGAAGCCTTACGTTTGCAGAGATCTCATCCAGTTTCATATCCCCATTCATGCATATCATTGTAGCTATTGTTCCTTTGTTTGGCTTTTTCTTTATATTGGGAAATACAAAGCTTGGCTTTGTGCTGGTGCTCAGTCTGCACTAACGCTCATTTTATAGTGGCAGATTTGCACTGCTGACAGATTCAAATTATGCCTAAAGTGTGCATACAATTTGCATCTACCTAATTAGGACAAATTAGAAATAAACTGATTTAATGGTGTGAACAGAACATAGTTTCACTGATTTACTGCTTTGTAGGCAGGCTTCCTTAAACTCTTGAAGGACTAAAGCTTCGTCTACAACATCATGACAGATCAGGCTAGGGAAAAACAAAAAAAAAAAGTGGCTTTACTCCACCTGCAGATAAAAAAAATGTCTTCATTCTGCATCATGTCAGCTCCCTTTTTAAAATATTGATTTCTTCTACTTAGGATTCTAGAATGCTTTAATCACAATGTATTATCACAGATTGTTGAAAAGCATTGTTCTGAAATATTTTCAGTTTTGTCTGTTGTTTTAATAATGTCTGTTGGAGTACGTTAAGTTTAATTCATCTACATTGACGAGTGTGAGGATATTATTGGCATTTAAATAGCAGCAACAAGAAATAAATAAGTTAGCAAAAACCAAAATTTCATTTAGGTAACTGTTACATCTAGTGATAATGTTGTTTACTGGAAGACTGCTTACTTCTCTGCTTTGGTGGCTGTAAAGATGATTTTGAAAAATCTGCCATTCACGTTGCATTGTCAGTAGAAAACCAAACTCCACAGTGAGTGACTAGCTTAGGCTGTAATTCAGTTAATTGTTATTTTATGGCTCTAAATGGTTTATTTTTGCAATTAAAAAAGAAAATTTGCCTGTACTATTTTTTCTATGCACTCCAGGTACTGTTCTTCCAGAGTTCAACATTGACTTGGTTGTAGCGCTGCTGAGGCAAGAAAATGCTAAAGACATCTGTGTCATCCATCTATCTCCAGAATTAAAATACTGTGATTATTTTATAATTGTGAGTGGATTTTCAACACGGCATCTTCATGCAATGGCAAATTACATGCTGAAAATGGTAAGACAGTTCTTGCTGCTCTGTCTGAGTTTTGGGAATGCTTTTAAGTGTTGTGAAGGGAATTTTCCCAGGATTGCATGTGTAGGGATGTACCAGGTAGGATGAAACTGATGACATTGTCATTTAATCCTGAATAAATCTAGGAAGTAACTGAGGGTTTTTTCCTTTAGCAGTACTACAAAAAATATAGGTATTATGTTTTTGAAACAGAACTCTCTGTATGTAGAGCACTGAGGACATCACAGGCTGGAACATGAATGATGTGAGATGGTGATGATGACCTGTGTCTACCTTATGTTTGTCCAGCAAACACCATTGCTATTCCCAGTCATTCAAAATAGCTTTATCTGGCTGTTCTCAAACCTTGATCCTTAAAGTTCCCACTTTCTCAGATATATTGTAAGGCTGGAAAAAAAGTTGGCCTCTTAAGAGGCACAGGATCCTCTCATGAGCTTTAAGCAAACTTGTAGCTAATCGTCACCCTGCTGTGCATGTACTGCAGGAGAGGAGAAGCAGCAGTAGCCATCCTTGCACAGAAATCCTCTGCTGTTTAGCTTTGGAACAAAGAACTTTTCAGTACAGGAACAGAGGTCAGAATAAAATTACTGGTCAAGCTTAGAGATGAGGGAGGAACTTTCTTGCCTGAGAAGAGCAATGCGACTGTTAAAAAGCACAGCATGAGGAGTATGACCAGCCCCATCAGTCAGCTGTCTGTACTCAGCCTGGAGTTTGCCTTCTCACCACCCACTTTATTTCCCTTTCTGACCCCGTTTTTCCGTTCACTTTTGGTTTTGCTTTCTTCCTTCCAATCCTACTGATTTCAGCTGTGAGATTCATGGGGGAAAGGAGAGTGGGAGAGATGGTTTAGCTTTTCAGGGCCTTTCTGAGCAGGTATGGGGTGTTTCTTGTGTTCTCTGCAGAAACTGGGGCATCTTTGCAAACCAAAATTCTGTCTTAAGCTGGAAGTTGCATTAATGTGATAGGAATATGCTAAATCAGAGTGCTTGGTATGTACTCTATTCCTTGTATAACTTGCTAGTCTTAACAGCTTTTCATTTCTCCCAGACCAGGAGAGATCAGTGAGTACCACCTGCCTTGAAAAACATGTTTGGGCTTCATGGCTGCACCCTCTGGTGGCTGTAAAAGCAGCAATTTTGCAAGGGCAGAGCCTCTTGGGAGGCATGGTATCCTCCTGGGCTTCCTGAGAAACTGGAAAGCCTGGTCAAGTACTTGGGGGTGGCTGAGTTTGTCTCACATTGGAAATTTTCAAAGTTAAAAAGGAACTGAAGCTTAAGATGTAAAGCAGAGCTGGTGCCCCAGAGTGATGCCAGGCCATTGGCAAGCTTTACTGTCTTTCTTAAACTACTATGATTTACTTGCAGTAAAACAAAGAGGTGCTCATGTGTAGCATGGGATCTTCTTCCTGTTCTGCTTCCAGGAGCTTGTGAATGGCAAAGGCCCACATCCCCATCTAGTTTCATGTCAGAGGAAGATGCTAACACTTGGCTGTATTGTAATTGTTCACCTTACACAGCCTCTAAGGACAAGGCTTGGAAGCTTGTAGTAGGGATCAGCCTTTGCAGCCTGATGATAGCTGATGGCAGTTCACACTGGGCTTTTTTAACATTTTGATCAGACTGTTGGACTCTTTTGAAGGTGCCTCACAAGCCATCCTAAAGAAAGAAAGGTAGAACTGGTTCTGAGTTAACATTTTGAAAGTTTTCCATGCTGGCTTGCAAACTAGCATCATTACCCAGCACCTGATGTTGTGTGGAGCAACCAGGAACAGCTGCATTTTGTGATAAGTGCATTCCCAGTGAAGTGAGACTCATTTGCCAGCCAGCCATGCTGGTACATGTTGTTTTGTAGTTCTGGCTTCCAAGGCAGAATGGACTGTTGGAGCCATTTCTGATGATACTCCTTGTATCGACAGGAAAAAGTAGATTATGGCCAGATCTGAAAGTGACCATGCTTCAGCCTTGAGCTGTCAAATTTTTCCAGCTCTGGTGGGTGTTTGGGTTCTTCATGTACTGGCTGGGGAGAGCTGAGCATCTCAAGCTGGCATCACAAAAGCCACCACGTGCTGCACAAAGAACTACCCACTTTCCCTGACTGACTTTGTGCAGCCCTGCTTTGAGCTGCCCCCTCCCCTCTCCCAGGTGGAAGTCTGTGTACTGATCCCACTTTCCCCAGCATGCAGCAAGTGTTGGGTGTGTGCCCTCAAGAGGCAGGAGGCTGGTTTGAATGTCTTCCTCATGGTGGGGGTTGAAACTTGGTTTTGCCCCATTCCCTTCTATCTGAGAAGAGAATAAGCTCAGCATCTCCATTTCTGCATCCTCAACCTGCCAGTGTAAACCACCAGTGAAAGGTATGAGAAATAAAACCTGGTGGTGGCAGCTATAGAGACCCAGAAATGTAAAGAATACTGTAAGCAGTTGTATTTAATATTCATCTTGATAAAAGATATGTACAAAATTCTTGGACAACAGTATGGGAATCCTGAGCATTAGGATTTCAGATCTGAGTAATCTGGAGGTATTTTCCAGTACTGCAATTGTAAATTAGCCTTTTTCTGTTGTGCAGACCCCAGGACCAGCATGAAGCAATTTAACCCATTTAAGCTTTAAAACAACTCAGCAAAGTCAAGCTTCTCTGTTAGGTTTGAATGCTTTTTAAAAAATGCAAAAAACCCAGTTTTCTGCCATTCTTTTTTTTTCTCAGTACAAGCATCTCAAAGAAGAAGGTTGTCCTCATACTCAGATTGAAGGAAAACAGACAGATGACTGGCTGTGCATTGATTTTGGTAAATATTTATGAGCCTGAGAAAAATAAAGTTCTGCATGAGCTCTTTGTTGACAGAAGCATTTCACTGTGAGCCCTGGTTGCTGTGGAAAGTTCTCAGTACTCTGCTGTTTGGGAATTCCAGTTGTTGCTTGAAGTCACTGAGATAAGAAATGATTTTCCATTAAATATCTTTGGTGCTGAGAAAAAACAGTAACTACTCTTCAGTGGCTAAAACAGGTCCTAATAAAGTGAAGGTAACAATAGTTGGGGGAAAAAAGCTTCAGTCAGTTTCCTCAGGTGTCTGTAATACATGCTTGGGTAAATGGGAGCCCATTGTACACTGCCTTACTAATGAACTGTTGAACGAACTTTTCCCCTGTCCAGATCATACCGTCACATGGGGTAAAACCTCAATCCTAAGAAATTGAGTTTAATTCTTTATTCTACAAGTGTGAAACTCTGCACAATTATAAAATACTACATTCAAAAAGCAGTTCTTCTTCACAGCTACCCCCTGGCTTAATGTTTTGACCTAAAAGATGAAAACTTCACTTATGGATGAGTGAGGAGCACTGCAGCCACAGATGTTAAGCCTTGGCTACTTAATGATGATAATTATTTGTGGTTATTACTGAAAATCAATTGGAATTTCAGGGAAGAACTACAGAAAAGTGCATTAGACAAACACTGGAATTGACATTCTCTGCTGTTGTTTGCACAGAATTAACAAAACCAGAAAAACTTAGTGCTTCAAAGGTTGAACCTATTTAATTGTAAAAACTGCCTGAGAAGTGTGAGGAACACAGCTATGAAAAATTAGTTGGCTTTAGCAGAATGCTGACAATACAAGGCAGCTGAAAATCCAGCTGTCACCTTGGGGGACTCTTTCAAATGAAATTCCTTTTGTATTTCTTCTGTCCCGTAGAAGTCATAATTTCTTTGGTTTGGAGTCTTGTGATAGTGTCTTACTTCAAAGTATTGTGTCTCATATCTTGTTACTGTAGTCTTGGAGTTTTTTGAAAGACTGACCAATTCCTAAAACTGCTTGAGAACTGGAAGCAGCAGCTTAGGAAGGGACTTTTATCAGCTGCCATGTTGTATCTAGCCATAAAGGGGGTGGAGGGCTTGAACTCTTTGCTCAGCTGAAGGTGTAGTGGTGCTTTACCGTTCCTATTAATTCATTGTGAATCTCTGTTCTGTGCAGGTAGCATAGTGGTGCATTTCATGCTGCCAGAGACACGAGAAGTTTATGAACTGGAGAAGCTGTGGACTCTTGGTCCCTACGATGACCAGTTAGCGCAGATGACTCCACAGTCCCTGCCAAAAGACTTTATCTTTGGACTGACTCCCAACAGCAGTGATCATCTCGAGACAAGAACTTAAAGCAGCTACTGTATGGAAAGAGGATGAGTGTGCCTGAATCATACAGTCTTGAGAACGGAGTAGTCAGTGCAGTTGATCAGTACAAAATAGTGTATTTATTGGACATACCTAGGTAGAGTTCTGAGCAAGCTAAAGTGAGCAGAATCATAGAATCAATAAGACTGGAAAAAATGCCTTAAGAATCCAACCATGAAATGTCAAAGAAGGAAACCTGTTGGAGCTTCCCAGGGGAGCCATTGGCTTAGTGGAGTTTGCAGTGAGAAGAGTGGGGCAAAGAGAGCTGCTTAAGCTGGAACTCATGCTCAGCCTCTAGAATAATTGTTTTTCTAATATCTTTGAAAGACACGCTGTAGTGGCAGTGAAAACAGACTGGAGTGCTATAAGGAAAAACTGAAATAGTACAGTTGAGATGATGCTTCTTGTGTTAAGCCATTTGCTTCGGGTCACAATAAAGCAAGTCATGGTCTGAAGGGGGGACAGAAAACATTCTGGTGTTACTGAGAACATAAAAGCTGAGAGCAATAGTGGCAAATAAATGTGCTTTGAGTTATCAGAACAGTAAATCAGTTTTCCAGCCAAGGCAAACCTGGTTTTAATAATAATAAAAAAAGCCCCAAACTGAAGTACTTCAATTGCTTGTTTTCATGTGAGAGGATTCAGCTCATCCTGCATGTGCAGTTGACTCCTCTCCTAGCTTTCCTCTCACCTACTTTCTGTAAAGGGACACAGACAATACACTATGACAGTGGAAACCTTCAACTCTTTGAAGTGGGAAAAAAGTTCCATAGGAATCCCTTGGTCACTGAGCATTACTTGCTGCTAATGGACTATTCAGCACTTTCAGAAGTCTCTGTTCAGTGCATTCTTAGCATGACTGATGCACAGCCTGATGACCAGTTAAAGAACTTGAAGGTGGTAACCAACTTGTCTGTGTAAGACAAGATGCTTTTTTGTATTATAGGACAGAGGTTTCATCACTGGATTTGAATCTCTTCCTCCTGGAGAAGTTTGCTCTGCCATGTATCAGAAAGCAGAAACAGGAGGTCCTGAGGGTAATCACCTTTTTTTCCACATAGCCCCACAAATTAATGCAAGCCCTGTCTGCATCTCTGCCCTGCACAGCAACTTCTGTTTGTAATGCTCAAAGCAAGCCTGGTTTTTGTGCCTAGAGCTGTTTTAGTCAGGAGGAAGAGTGTGTTGTTTAAAAAAGTCCAAACAAACCAAACCCCACTTTTCCCTCTATTTCGGGTCATGTTTTCATGCTGTTGTCATTTTTTAATGAATGATAGCTTCCAAGGTCACCTGCTCTTTGATACAAGGCAGCAGATAGTTCTGCAATTACGGGTATTAAGTGTAGTTAAACCACGGAGATAAAGCATCTTTGCCCACAAACCAAATACGTTGTTGGGAAATACAAGTGCAGAGAAAGGTTTTCAAAATTCTTCATGACACTTCTTGAAAGTAATCACATGGGAGAAAGATAACCTTGACTGTCTTACAGCCTGATGAGTTCTAAATCAGGCATTTCCTCCTCGGAGTGATGTGTAGGAGTAACTTCGACTCATTCCCTGAAACATTTCCCTTTTACTGCTGTTGGAGATAAGTAATATGTGACGAATAGAGGTAGGTTCAGCAAACATTACACCATTATATGAACCCACATTTAGTAACCAGAGCCACGTACAGTATCCTGTCTGAAAGAACAGTAAGAAAAAGGAGTACCCAGAAAAGAACATCTGTGTGAACAAACTAGGGCTTAGAGGTGAAGAGGGTTGCTAGTCTCTAAGACAAGACAAAAAAGAAAAATAACAGAGGAGAAAAAAACCCAGTAAAATAAACAATTATAGTTGACTTAACTGGCAAAGCATATTGTTAAAAGAGTTCTATGAACATCCACTGGTTGCTATTAAACAATCAGAACTGCCAGCCCAGGGAAAGAACTTGGTTCTCATCCATTTAAAAGAAGCATTTCTAATCTCTGGTGAGCTACTGCAGCACCCCAACCATGTTACCTTCCAGCCTTGATGATACTATGAAGATGGGACATAGGAATTAACCCAGACAGTCTGGATGATCAGTACTATGCAACACTAAAGGCCTTTTGGAAAGAGAACATTTGGGAATGATTTCAGTTGGATAGATCAGGTGATTTCTGGGTAAAATAAAAATACCAAACAGTTTGTGCAATGAGTCTGTAGATTCAGCATTAAGTCATGGACAGGTACATGTTGGTTTGGCTCTGTGAAGGATCTGTTGCTGAGATGAATAGGAGAAACCACTAAGTGAAACTTGTCATAATTTCTCTGATTTCTTGCAGTGCATCTGAATAACTTCATTTTCAAGCAGTGTTTGAGCCCGTCACTTTAGCTAACATCTCTGTTAGAGCCCAGCTGGAGTGCTTTCTCAACAGTTTGTCATGTTTGTCTAAGAATCCTGCACCCTAGTACCATATCAAGCCCAGGCTGTGTTGCACAGCACACATGCTCCATTTAATGGAAAATTATACAAAGAGTGCATGCCTTAGAAATTGCAGCTTAAGAATAAAAGCTCTGGAAGGTTAGAAGCAAATAAGAATGTTATGGTAAAGCAAATGCTCGAAACAGGGGTTGAGCTGTCACAAATGCACCAGCAGTACAGAGCAAGGCTTGATTTTTTATGTTGCTCAAATGACAGGGTGCTGTTCCTGAGAAGAAAGCCTGATACTGACATGGAGAAATGAGTTTAGGATGCCCTGTGAAATGTGATACTCTATGCAGTGCCTTCTGCTGACATAATTTCTTAAATTCCATCTTTCTGCTGGTTGGTCCCAGGAAATGAGCTGTGAAGTAGGAAGGTGAACTAGTTTGGAAAACAAGTTTGGAAAACCAGTTCTCTTTGAAAAGATACTGATTTGTGCAATTCATGATGCTCCTTCATTCCCCAACTCATCCTGCTCATGTGTAAGCATTCATTGGTCTCATTTTACTCCAAAGAATGTTAACAAGGATCTACATGGAGAGGTGATACCATCTCACTGGCAAGTGGTGTATTTGGGTGGTCATGGTAGGGGTGAGAGGCTGCCAGGACATTTGTTTGCCTGTGTGACTGGTTCTGCCTGTCCAAGCTTCTAGGGCCACAGTAATAGCAAAGCTTCATTACTTTAAGACCACCACAGTACAGACTGGGAAAAAAAAACCTCCCCCCCCCCTCCCCCCAGCTCAAAAAAAAAAAAAAAAAAAAAAGTGCATTTCTGATCTCATGTTTGCCCTGACAGGACTGTCAAGTCCACATTCCTTCCACAGCAAATGAGCCTAAGTGAATGGTGCAAGGCAAACCATGAACCATAGGTTGTCCTACAGACTAGATGGGCTTGTTAGATGGGAGGGAGAAGATTAATTACAAGCCACAGAAGTCACAGCTTGTTTTGGGAAGTGCAAACATTATAACCTGGCTGTCCTAGCAGCTGTAGAATACCTGTAGTTACTGCTCATCCTTATCCAGTTACTACGCACAGAAAAACCAACTTGATCAAAGCACCACAGGTACTCAGGACAGTCGTCCCTATGCCTCAATGATTTAAAAAAACACCACACAACTTTATCTGATGATAGGAGTTAAACTCTTTATTCCATTCAGAGGCATCTGGCAAGTAGAGCTGCATTGGGGGGCACATTACAGATGAAAAATGATCCATACTTTCTGGATATTGAATTCATTTACAGTATTTACTTTCTAGCTATTCCCAAATACTCCAAATTACCAAGTCTCAATTGAAAAGAAAAACATGAGATATCATATTAAGTCTAGAAATTTAAGAGATGACAGTATTTAAATCAGCAGATGTAAATGCAGCGCCTATCTGTAAAGTAATTTTTAATGGAAAATAATGAAGTCAAATCCTTCTCAAATGTTAAGAAAGGAACGTCCAACTGACTTAAGCCTCAACAAAAATTAAAATGCTATGTACTTTCCATACTTCAGTAATTTTAAATTCATTGTAAGAAAAAAAATTATCCTAAAGGCTAGATGAAGGTCACTGTCAAAAAAGGAAAAGAAACTCATCTTTCTTTGCTAAAACTACAACATAAGTTTGTGGTTCTTAAACCAATTAGTAAAGAAGAGATGCAGGAAAAACACTTCAGACCATTTTCAAAATTATCTAATCTGTACAACAATGATCTTTGGGAAAATTATCTAGTCTATGTAGTAATGCCTCTATTTCAACATGAACCTAAGAGGTAGATAACAAAATGATGAAACAAATGTTTTTGCTCGCTGTGCCCCTCAAATCAGTGCAGCATGGTGATTCTGATCATCTCATGCACAAAAAACATCACAAAAAAAGGTTCAGAGGTAATAGCATGGCTCTGTCGACCACACACACACAGGCGCGCACGCGCACACACACACACAGCAGTCTTTATGCACCATGTGTTGCCACATTTTTTTTTTTTCTTAAACTGAGGTAGACTGAAGTTTATTGTAGAAACTTGAATGTGTCACTATTACCACAATCATCATTCAAATTACATTTGGAATTTTAAAAATTTGGTAACTTTCCTGTTATCCCTGCCTTTTGACATTTTTTTTTGTTCTCCTCTAATGGTTGGTTGCAGAATGTGCATAAATCCTGCTGCATCTATTATAAGCCAGGCTAGAGAGGTTGTTGTTTTGCTTTTTTTTTTCTTGTAATCATTTTCAAAACCTTCAAAGTGGCTTAGTGTGGCCCATAACAGCGGCTGGATATGTAAACTTAGCCTTTCATTATCTTTCAATGTGATCAAACACTGTTTGACCTTCCCCCATCGTGGTAACTGAAAGCAGTATGATGTGATCTGCAGACAGCAAAGACCCTACTGGCCTCAAAAATGCTCCAGCAGATCAAGTGTTCTATCAAACTGAAGATGAAGCTTGCTCTTTGAACAAAATGGCAAAGTCCAAATGGGCTGCAAATGGTTAAATGTAGCATTATTAGGTAGTGATGGTCAAAGGCACAAAGGGTTCATGCATTCAATCAAGTAGCACAAAAAAAAAATTCAGCCTCTTGCAGCCTTCTAAATTTTTCCCCCAACCCCAGCCTCTTGCCATCACTTCCTTGTCCTGTTCCCAAAAAAGTACCGTCACAAACTTTTTCATCCCATCTTAAAAGAAAACTAAACGGCATTGCTGCTATCAGAATGTTGGCATCATTCACTATCTTTTGAACATTCATTGAATTTTTTTAAACAAATGATGGTGTTGAAGCCCTCAGGAAATCTGAGGCTGTGTTTTTTTTACCCACCTTACTCCCATCAGCCAGCAGCTAGAAGTGCTCTACTATATTTTTCCCCGATAAGTCTGTAGTACTCCTGGCTGGTGGCTGATCAAATTTTAATTTTTTTTAAAAAAATAAAATGCTCAAGAACTATTAGCTTTATAAAGTATACAAAATACCAAAAAAAAAAGCAAAAAAGGAACAATTTCTCATTGAGGTACTAAATGCCTGAGGTAGTTTAGTAAAATGCATATTTATCTTTTTATGCCCTGGCCAACACCATTCAACACTTCCCTTAGGTTATTAATGGCAGTGTTATGTAAAAATGCAACCAAATTCTTTTTAAAAAATGCCACTTGTTTCAACATTGGGACTAACACTTAAACTCTTGTCAATACCCTTACTCTAACCCTAGCCCACCCACAATCCCACCCTCCAAATGTGTTTATTCTTTTACAACTGGACCTATAAGAGCAATGCCTTTTCTTTTTTTTTTTTTTGTTGGTTTTTTTTTTTCTTTTTTTTTTTTTTGTTGGTTTTTTCTTTTCTTTTTTTTTTTTAACCAGTGAACTCAGAAGAGAAAGCTTCATTAAACCAAGTTCTAAAGTTGTTGGGGAATAATAAGAACAATAAAAAAGACTAACGAGTTTATGTTAAATTGTGAGAATAGAACAAAAGGGAAGTGAAGGGGTCCTTATTTTAAAGCTGGGTTTCAAAAGTTTGAGAGAGCCTAAAGAATACATTCTCAGAGACAGCGTTCAACGGTTGCCTGGTCCTCGAACAGGTGATTGGCTTGGTGGATCTTCTGCATAAAACTTCAACAGGTGCTCACCACCTGTCTCTCTGTCACACAGTCTGTCTTTGGTCTGGCATCTGTCTCTGATGGGCCGTTTCCTAAACCTTTATTTTCGTCTTGGCTGAGGCTGTCCGCTTTGCAATGTTTTTTGCTGTTGCTGCTGCCTTCTTACCTGAGCCAGTATTTCCTGAATTTTTCTCTGAGCAAGCTGAAGGACACAAAGAAGAAGAAACAACCCATCATGATGTCATGCTGCAATGACTGATGTTTACAACCAAAAAGAGATGCTACTGGGAGATTAAGAAAATCTGGAATAACTAAATTTCAAGTACTGACAAGATTGCTTGTTTACTAAAACATGCTTGAGATTAATCATTATGTACAGCCAAAATTTTAATTTTTCTTCTCTTTTCCACCTGCCACAACTACTTGCATTGTCAGTTTTCCCATCTGTAATATAGAAAGCATGAGAATAGGAAGTTGACTACCAATGTTGAGATTATTGAAGCTACAGCCTTCATTTTACCCATCTGGAAATACTAATGCCTTATAAGAACCACTGTTTTAATAAAGAGGGTACAATTTTTTTATACACTAGGTTAATCAGAATGTCAGACTTACAGGACTTCCCAGCCCCTCCCAAATCTCCTTTCTGAACTACAAGTCACCTGCAGCAAAGTATCACAAGGAATGAGTCTGAGTTAAGTGAAGGAAGTGATCTTGTGATCCTTTTCTTTATGATATTATTCAACAGATTGGGCAATGTAGATGAATTACATATCTGGGTGTATTCTTTCCAGATACTGTGCTATGGCTTCTGTCTCTGTTCCTTCTGAATTTCAGCCCAATCACAACTTGGGTTTTCTTTCGCTTTTAGTGAAGTTTTAACAGTGCCAGAGCCTGCATAAATTGACAGAAGAATTTAAGGAGACTGTTTTGCATATGTAAACGTGTAGTATTGTTATAAATCTCTCTCAAAGGCATGAGGAAAGTTTATTGCAGCAAGACAACCAGAGGAACCTGGCAACCAGTGCTTTCTGTATCCTGAGCAAAAGTCTTCCATCCCTTGGCTCCTGCACATGGCTATAAAAGAAAGACCATGGAAACATCAAGGCAAATACAGAAAATCATTGCAGTCCTCCTACCTGGCATGCATAGAAGTGACCAGTTATTTTCACAACCACCTGATCATTTTCATCAGGTGTCTGGTCACGAGGGACTACAACTTCTGCACTTGTCAAGTTTTGAAGCTCATTTACCTATAGACAGATAGTACAAGTCAGAAAACTTTAAACTAACAAATGTTATACAACCACCAAGCCTCAAAGATACCAAGCATTGAAGCATCATCCTCTAAGCTACATTTTTAAAAACCCCTCACTAACAGAAAGCATCTTTATGCAGCAGTGTGCACTCTGCAAGCTGAGCCTCTTGTGTCTCTTAACATAAATTAGCACCAACTTCTCTGGGTTTGTAGAAGTGTTTTAAATACCAAATACAACACACAGAAGGTGTTAAATACATGACTTAAAAAAAGCAAATAGATGCTACAGTATTTACAGTTGAGTTAAAAAGTGTAAGGTCAGAAACATCATATAATATAGGGAAGAAAAATGCCAGAGTATTTATACACTTTTTCCTTCAAAAATCTACACAAGATGGAGGACTTCAGACTGAGCAGGTGAGAAGTTCTGTTTGTTCAAATTATTTTCAGCAGCTTATCAGGCTTCCATCGTGTTAAGTAGAGGTAAGGTTAGAGTCTTTGTCTCATTAAAACTAATTTTACTTCAGAAATGCTTATCATTGTGCAATTAAAGTTTTAGATTAACAGCTTCTCAGACAAGTTTGCCCTTAAATCTCATTACTGCCACTGCAAGTAATGGATGAGGCCACACTGCCTCCTGACACTTGACCTAAAGACCCTGTTGCACTCAGGATGGACACCCACAAATGAACCATGTCTTTGCAAATATCATCCAGCTCCTGACTTAACATCATATGAAAATACCTGAGCACCAGCAGAGCACCAGCACCTTTTTAGAATTGAAAAATCTCAGTGATGTTATGTTATACAACAAACTGAGCCTACGAAATACCATCAATTTAATGGAAAGAAAGATATGTACACTTTTTTTGTAATATTGAGGTCTGAACATGTCTTAAATTCCTACCACTTATTTAGAAATTAAATAAATCATTCTAAGATTGGCTTCAACTCCACAGTAGAAAAAAGGAAAATGTAACAAGCATAGCTAGGAAAATAGCTTCTCTGCTTTAATGTAACATCAAAGAATTATAGTTTAGCTAAAAGTATAAGCTTTATGTGTATATACACACTGAATATGAAACATAACTGATAACACTACGGGTTTTATTTCAGCTACTTACTGTTTTGCCTCCTTTACCAATAACTCTACCAGCAGCATAGGATGGCACTTTTATATGAGCCTCAAGTTTCACTTCTTCTTTAGGTCCAAAGAAATTTTCTTCTTTAAGTTTTCCATAGATTCTCCCTTGAGCCTGCAAAATTGCTTTCAGTTAGAGAATGTTCTTGGAATCTAGTTAATGTCAAGAAAGTCCATAGAAAGGAGAATTCTTAGTACACAATCTTGACAAAATGTTTTCCCTAATAAATACACTACTTTTCTAAAAGAAGTCTTTGTACCAAACTAGAAAGTACCAGTGTCCAACTTCAAAGATTGTTTGACAACCCAGGGGACCACACAACATTTTAACAGACATCATTATTATTATGCTTTTCAGTAGAAATATTGCTTTTAAAGACAACCATCACATTTCTGTAGCGGAAAAGAGTAGCAGAGAGAGTAACTGTTAGAGAGAAGTTTTTTATTACATCCAGAAGCACAAAATGGAACTAATTGATCCAGAAACCCATTCTTTTAAGGATGCTAAACTAAAAAAGCCACAATACTCCCAACAAGTCATGGTCTAAAGACTCCAATTGGAGCAAAGAGCTTGCTTTTACAATCCATTATAACATATTGTTTAAAAATTAATAAATTTACACTTGCTCAAATTTCCAAATTAAAGAATCAAACTGCCCAGATTTAAATAGTTCCATGGGAACAGTATTATTCCAACCAGCACACAGTTCCTTTTTCTGGGAAACACACAAGTGCCAGATAGCAAGAAGAATGTCCAGATGAGAGTGAGGTTTTAAATTTGTTCATTTTTAAACACATTTACTTCCTTATTCACAGCCATTTATCAGTGAATCTGTGAGAAATTATTACCAAGTCTTGTACTCTTAGGCTTCTACATGCTTCAAAAGAACACACATTACTGCCAAATTATAAAGAAAGATGGGATGTGGACTTCTTTAATAAAAGATTGTAGATGGTCTTCCAGCATCTCCAATCTTTCAGTTCTTTAAAAGGTCTTTAGGAAAAGAAACAACCTAACTGGGCTGCAAGCCCCTGCATGGTAAAATGGTGGCTGGCATGTGTTGTCTGCACTAGATTCCACTTCACTTTCATATATCCCAGATCCAAGGCAAGGCATCCATGCATGCATAGTGGTGACACAGAGATGCCTGAACTCCAGGGAGCACTGCAGCAGAGGCTCTGAACAGTGGCATGTTCCCATTGCCTTGCTAACAACTATCCCTGCACACTGCAACATCCTCAGGCTGCAGCAGCAGAGGAAGAAAGGGATGCAGCCACTGCAGCTACAGGGGACATGAATCACACACAATGAGTAAGGAAAGGATGCTGAAGTCACAGGCTCTGGGATAACACTGCCTTCTCCAAGAGCACATTACTCATCTGACCAGCAACTATTCCCTCTTCAAGTTGTTGAGCATCAGTTTTCATTCTTGGTACCCCAACAACCAGTCCTAGGAGAGGGGAGCCTTCTTAATCAGAGTTTAAGAAGGGCACTAATGAAGTGTGGACCTGGCCCTAAGGCCAGCTTCAGGTTAACAGTAGTGATAAAAGGAAGGACTGAGCTCTGCCTCTGCCCATCCCAGTCAAGAGGGCATTGCTCAAAGAGAAGCTATAATACTTCAACACCTGGAGCTGAATAAAGCCCCAAGGGACAATCCCTTTCCTTCATAAGATCAGCGTACCCCAGGAGTACTGATTAATGCACCTTTGCAAGCAGAGCTCAAGTGTAAAGTAGTGACTGATTGATGTGGTTTTAAACTACGTATGAGATGCAGAAAAGGGATACTTTCCTCCTTGCATGAATCAGGTTGGAGAGAAGAGCTTCCAGAAGAACCCTGTGGGACTCCCAGTTTATCTTGGGGAGGAAACCTGAGAGCGACCCTTTGCCTACATGAAAAGTCAGGATAAGGGATGCCCAAATTTCCTTTGGCATGCTGCTCCTTGAGGGTAAGTCTACTGATATCTGATGAAAAGAAAGAGAAGCCAGTATCTGACCTTGTCTGACCTCAGACCATAAGAGTATCTGATATCCAATATTTGAAACATCCCATGTGGCCAAGCCCACATGCACACAGAAAATATCAAGGAGACAGAGGTTCCTAGTCATGCTTTGCCTTCAGTGGCATCTCAAATACCTACGGTAAATGAGCAACAATCCCAAATGCATCTAAGTTTGTTATTACCACTGCAAAATACCTGCCCTGATAATTTTCCAAAAATCCTAAAGGCATTAATGAAACTGATATCCCTGAAGTTTGTGCACCTCCTTCTTGCAAGATGCCCTGAAGCAAAACTACAAAGTCAAAACCGAGAGCAGGCAAGAAAACTATGCCAGGATACAAACTCTCAAGTGACTTTCTACCTGCTCCAGGCCACATCTGTGATGATGCCAGGCTGCTGCACTGAACTGCCTGCATTACTCCTAGCACAGTCAACTCCTTTTGGGGTAACTAGATTTATCACTTGACATTTAAAGCAGAAGGCTACTCTGGAACTTAATTTGAAAACAGATGGGATAATCAGGTTGACTATCTCCTTGTAGTTGCAGTGGAAATACAATTAGAAATCTTGCATTTATCTGTAGAGCTACACAAAAAACATTTTCCATTTGGCACAAAACAGCAACCTGGGAAGACTCAATTTTGTTGTGTCAGCTTTGTTAGTTCAGTTAAGCACACACAACTGTTGCACATACCAAGACAGATTAAAAGACTCAACTCAAAGGTGCTTGTAGATAGAAGAGAAATTTACACTGTAATATGGTCATATTTTTATGCTAGACTATATTCTTACTCACAAAACTCATAAAACATACACAAGTTTTCAGGTGACTAGAATGTGGCCTCTAATAGTACTGTATTACTCATATTCCTATGAGACACCTTTCAGCAAAATGAAAGCAAAACCCAAGTGTTTAGTAAAATCCTGAATAAAATGTGCTTGGAGCCAAGAATTTTGTTTCCAGTATTGTCCCTTAGGATCAAAAGGCCACTACATACTGACAAGTTTTTGTAGGCTGTACCTTGAACTGAGCTTCTGGAGGTCCAGTGATGATAACCATTCTCAGCTTAGCATCTGGTCCTTCAGCAGGGGCAATCTGGAATGGATAAACATAGCTATTGGTAGCTGTCTTTTGAAGGAATAGTTTAAAGCAACCTCCTCCCCATTTCAGTCTCACATTCTGTTCAGGAGTGAAAAATTATTCGTTACAGCAGCAGCATCACACTTCAGTCATGACGAGTTTGTTCTCTTTAAAGTGCATTAATTAGCTGTAATGAAATATGGAGAAACTGGCTAAACCACCATGAGCAAATTTACTTCTGAAAATTAAAGACACAGCTACTCGTCCACACATGGCAGAATCCCACATGGTGTTTTCATGTGGCTATGAGTGATGTAAGATATGTAGCCTTCAAAAAGAGAAATCTGGTTAATAAACTGAGATTCTCATCCCTACCCACTAGCTTGAATAGTCTTTCTAAAAGGTTTTGCTCATTAGCAAAACCTCGCATCCATTCCCCTGAGAACAGAAGATCACTTTACTGTAGTAACTAATCAGATCCAAAACATTCCTCTATACTGGACAATGTGTGACCCAAATAAAAATTAAGCTCCACCAGAGCTGAGACAGAGATGCCTGTAGGGTCTTTAGCAGTTCATGTCACCACAACAGTAGGATTTCTGTGGAGGTTTTTCTCAGACTCCAGTGGCATTGAATAATTCAAGCTAGCCTCCGACATGCCGAATGAGTCTTTTGTTTATCACAACTGACATTTCCATTGTTACATCTAGTATTACATAGCTGCTGTTGAATGAGCAATATATCAGACACTACAGAATTTCATCTCAGCTGTTGGCATAGGGATGTTATTCATATTTAACAGCTGTAGTTTATTTCAGACAAATTACCAGTCACCAGGCATCATTTTCACTAAAGAATTTTGCAAAGGAAAGTTTATAACATTATTCATATTGCACCCTAAGATGGAGAAAGCATTACATACTAGTTATCTGGTTTGCATATGTATTTTTCATTATTTATGAATTCCAATTGGATATATCTAAAAATACACATTAATTTTACAGCAGTACATTTATATGACATGACGTTGTGGTAAGAACAAGTACAGACTAAACCCATTCATTCTTTGGAAAAAGTATTTTAGAGGAGCAAAATTTTAGGGCACTTTTAGAGGCAGCTAACTGAACAGAGTTCAGCCTGACAATTGTCATTCATGTAATGTGGACAGTTTTGTCTCTCAGCCACGTCTAATTTTCTTAGCAAATATCAGCACCTCCATTAAAATTTTAGGAAAAATATTTTCCATCAAGCCTTCATTACATCTTATGTGTGTCTAAATATTCTGGGATATATCTTGCTTTGATTTTATCCTAGAATATTCTGTTCTCAGAAGCTGGGGTAAACCATGGCTGCAAAAGAAACATATACCAATTAACATTTCAATGTCTGAAGGGGTAACCTAAGAGAATTCTGTGTTAATTTTGTCTGTCTGCCTGTGGAAAAAGTAGTTATATACATACAAATAGTATACAAGTGGTGAATTTAACTTCTGAGATTAAATAACTTTACATTCCTAACCAGAAAACAATCTCTTATATGCCAAGCCACAAACAGACAACTTTATACACCCAAACCCAGCTTTCATTAGGAAGGGCTTCTCTGGAAAGAATTTATAATCAAGGAGATGACAATTGTTCATAACAGGTCTAAGAAGTATGGGGTGAACAATAGAGAACTCAAATCTCTGCCTGGCTCTTTTGCTGAATAATTGGGTCTGCCAGAGTCCCACACTGAGCCTGCATTGCCAAGCAGTGACCCCCAGCACTGGGCCACAACCTGAGCTCAGCAAGAGCCATGTACACCTCTGAGGTGACAGCCTGCACACTGCAGCCTCGTACAGAGCCCCAGTGCATCTGCAGCTGAGTCTTATGTCCTGGGTTAGGAGTTTCACCAGATCTACAAAGCTCAGCATGAACACAGAGGAGATGCAGGAGGATGTAAAATGCTTTCAGCTGTAACAAGCTACAGCACAACTCAAAACAAGCATTATGCACAGACTTACTTCCTCTACAAAGTATGGTTACTGCAATTTGGCAACTTAGAAGTTACTCAAGCAGCACTTCTACAACTCTCAGCTAAAAGCACAGATTCTTTGATTCACAATTTATTATTTCACTCCAAAGTTATGAGAGAGGGCAAGTTAAAGTGGTCCCATTTCAACGTGAGGGAAGTTTAAACATTTTGAATAATTACCAGTTGCCATATTTAATACTTTGACACAGAAGCAAGCCTGATGCTCCACATTGTTCTGCCAGATTACAGGTGAGATTGCATTATTTTAATAGATAAGTACATATGCAGTGTCCCAGTTTTGCAAGCATACCCTGTATCTGCATACTTTTTTTAAGATTTAACCATATTTTCATAAAAACGCATTTTTATTCCTACTGAAGGAACAAAAGGCCAGAGCTCAAGAAAACTTTTATCTGAATTTAAATTAATACAGAAATGTTAAATGCATGGGGTAGAGGGGTGCCAGCCAGTAGAGGAAGCCTGAGGCCACTGTTAGCCAGATGCATGAGAAATACTGGAAACTCCCTTTCCACTAAACTCTCTTCCAAGGACCAACAGAAGAACTAGTTTGGACGGGTTTTTGGAGGTCCAGGTTGTTTTACATTTCTCTCTCTCCACCTAGCAGTGCCTTCCATACACTGCTTAAACTTCAGATACAAGCTGCAGGAACGGAGAGAGGAAGAGGAAATACATGTGATACATCACAGCCCCATGCAAAACAGATTTGATAAAGAAATATTGACACCTCTCACTTCCTCCTGTATCATTTTTCCCATAAAAATATGGTTATTAGTGCTCAATTAATATAAATGATCTGGGTAGTAGAGCTATTTAACATTCTGCTCAAAAAAGGATGGAGTTGGGCAGTGTGTCATTGGTTGACTGGCCAGTAAACAGATCAGCACTAGGCAAACCACACACAAGACCCATTCATTAGGGTTCCCCAATTATTTGGCTCTGTAATCCTTAAATTAACACCTTCCAAGCCAAGCTCAGCTTCACCAAATTCAACTCAGCATCGCCAGCTCCTGCCTTGTGCCCCAGACTTTTGGCATATCCTTGCCATAGCACTCACTAAACACATCACTCCCCTGAAACAAAAATAAAGAGGGCTGAGAAGAAAACATTTGTTTTATCTGTGCAGTAAAATGTCCATCTAACAGCATATTAAAGTTACACACTGTACTTTAAATGTACTGTTCTCTAAACTTTTCTTTTTTATTTTTCAATTTAGGCCAAAGCATTATCTTAATAGCATAAAACAGCAGAAAATATTATTTGTAAGAAAAAAGTGCTCAAGCATCTAGAGAAGATACTTGTGGCTACAAGGACATTAGTGGCCAAAAGCCAAGGCCTTCCAATGACTGCAACTGGTCCTAACCCTTGTACACAGAAAAAGATTTCACCAAATTGACTAAAACTCAAGCTTCTGTTAGAGGTCAGCCTAAACCATCCTGTTCTTAGCTACACTGAGGTGGTCAATATACCAACAGCTGGATGTTAAACCTGGGAACAAAGTAAATGTCCTGTTAAGAACTGACTGGCCCCAGAAGCTTGGAGCAGCACATGGGTGAAGTTACACACCAGTAATTCAGAAAGGACATATTTGAGCTTGATAGCCCAGACCAATCCATCTGGCACAGAGCAAAGGCAGCCACGAGAGTAGGGAACTTCAACTGGGCTGCTGTGTTTAGAAGGGGAATTTACCCCACCAATTTTCACTTTACCTAAAGCAAGGAGAAAGCCTTTAAGCACTGCATCATTAAGGCACAAGTCTGTTTCTAAGACCACCAAAGTAGTTTTCTTTGCAGCTTATATTTCACACCTCAGGAGACGTTTGAAAACATGCTTCTAATTATCTTGTCTCAGGGAAGATTAAAAGATGATTTATAAACAAATGTACTATTTATCATATCACATTCTAAGCACGGAGTACGGGAGGATGTTCACGAAAGCACGGCTTGTGCAAACTTGCTGAAAGTGTCACATAGAATAAGCAGAAAGTTATAGTTGGTGTAATAATACCTTAATAGATGCGCCTGCAAAACGAGAAAGTTGTTTGATGTGCTGTCCCTGCTTGCCAATAATAGCTCCAACTGCCAAGGCTGGGATGAACAGATGAACAGTTTCAGACTCGGGCTGTTGCTGTGGGGAAGAAGGAAAAATGCAGTGAATGTTTTTGAACATTATGAATCAGACTGACAGGAAAATGGGTACAGAACAGACATGCATGGAAATGAGGGGTATTTCCCCCTGAGATGTCTGAGTATTAAAGGTCTGGCTTTTTTTGGGAATCACATAATCCAGAGAACAAGAAAACCAGTTTGAGCCAAAAGAGGATTATTTTATCTTGTATAAAATACTCACAATTTTAATGTCTAGTACTTTACAAAACAATTGAGGAGTTGCTTCTTTGTGAAGCTTTCACTCTTACCTGTAGCTGTCTGGATTCTCTTCCACATGCAAGACCCTGCAGATGAGGCTACTACAAGCAGAAAGGGGCTACTACAGTCTGAGCAGGCAAACTTTCTAGTTTCCCGGTTATATTTTTAATTTTAGATTGTGCTGAGAGCAGTACAAAAAGCCTCAGTTACATATATGCTACAATTTCCTTTGTGTGGGAGTGATCTGGAATGATAGCCAGCTTGAAATCTGCCAGTGATTCCTCCTGTGTAACATTATGCAACAGTTGGAACCCTGGCAGCAGTCCTCACGCAAGCTAGTAAATTAAACACCATGTTTCTGAAAAGTGAGAGGACCCCAGCATTGCACCCACTGGATATCAGGCATAACTGCATCTTCCTATAACTTTCAAGCAGACACCCCAGCTGAGAGCATGACCTAATGCTCGAGTTCCTCTCTACATGCTGTGTAGCAATGATCAAACTGCAGGGTTGCATCTGCCACAGTCACAGCTATGTCAGCAGCCTCAGAAGAGCCTGTCCCAGAGGAAGGGAGCACCATAAAATACACATCACACTACTGGACCATTGATCCACTCACTTTTGTCAGGGCTACTCCTAAAAAGCATTTCACACAAGCCTTTCTTTGAACTTTGAGGTATTTAAGACACTACGCACCTCTCCTTCTAAAGTTTTTCTTCCTCGTTTGTCCCTCTCATGTACTTTCAAAATTTGTTGTGCTCATCCTCAATAAGACAAGCCAACAAGCCTTTTTCATGTGGAGGTATTTTGAGACAATGCAGACATCCTCATCCTTGCTTTCTCAGTACCCACCATGCAGACCAGCACCAGCAAGCAGAGCACATGGAACCAACCAAGCTCATTTAGCTCTGCTCTGTTTATATATTGGTAGGAATACAGGCACATAGAGAAGCTCATCTAAACAGCTTTTTCTATGATATTTTCAGAAAAACCCCCACACTGCTATATGCAACAGAAAGCAAAAAGCAGATGCAATCCGAAAAACAACACCCCCAGCTTATTTTTAAATTTCAATAACTCCTTTCAAGGTTAAGTCTTTCAAGGCGAAGTCCCACAGCATTAACCATAAACAAATCAGAACAAAATGCTTGTTTCCAAGTTTTACCACTTCATTTTCAGTAAAAACAAGTCAACTGTAACCTCAGGGGATACAAATTCCAGGCACAGCTCCAGGTACCAGGTGAAGAAACCCCAAAATAGGATACTGGGAACAGAAACACTTTAGGCAATTGCAACAGTTGAATAGTTTACTCTGCGTTTTCACACACACAAGGCATTGGGATTCAGGGGCATTTCATGCTAGTTTAAGTCCACATGGATGCAGCTCTCCACTCCCAGCCTCCCCATTGCCTTGTATGCTTTGACACTAGCAGGTTTGCGGATCCAGCTGATTTTTAAGGCAGGCAGTAAGTATCTGACCCAAATAACCAGAGCAACACACAAGTGGTAGTCTGTGACCAAGGGAGGAAGTAACAACAATTAGAGAATAAAAGGGGTGCTCCCACCTTTTCCCAATTTGCCTACAGATCAGTTTTAAATTATCTCAAAACTACACCCTAAAGCTATGTATTTGTAATGAAAGACACAGTCACTTCAGTATATATGTTAAACCACTTTCCAGAAGATTACTCATATTCTCCTCCTATTATTACAAATATCCTGAGTGTTGTCATAGTAAGTCCTTTTACATGTTCACTGTGAATCCAGCAATATTCCCAGCAATTTGGAAATACCGTAGGTATTCACTTGATCTTAGCACTTCAAAAACCTGTTTCCAAATGGTTACAAGTTCATGAAGCGTTTGGGTTTTTCCAGTTTTGTTGCAAGGACCAATTGCACTGGGTGTAAAGGCAACCCCTCATTCCAATCCTGACAGCTTATCCACCCCCTTGCTTGCTCTTCTTTTAGACCCCTACATTCAATTGTCCACACATGCTCCAGCTCCTGCAAAAATCCATTGCTGAAGTTTTCCCATTCACATGCTTCTCCATCCAGCCTCTTCCAGCTAATTACTACAACACTGCTGCAAATCAAACATATAACTTTACTTGGTTTTCAAGAATTTACACAGCTTCTACCTAAACCCACCTCCAGACACATTTCTGTACTATGGAAACAAATCAAACTTCATTATTTTTGTTTGCATATATTTCCTGCCTTCCCTCTGTTGCCCATCTGCCTGCTGAGCAGTTTTCCCCTCTCCTTCCCAAAGCTTGATTTCAAGCCACTTTCTTGGCTGGATTCAATCCACCACTGAAATTCCTTTTTGCTGCCTCACCCTTAAACACAAAATGGGTAGCAAAGGCAGCAGAAGATGTGCATGTGCCTTTCTAATTATACAATCACCTCACTGTAGCACCTTCCTCCCATCCCTCCTCATAGCTTTGATTTTTTGATACAATTCAACTTCTTTTTTCCTAAAGGACTTTAAAAAAATATTTATGTGAGTTACCGAGGTTCTTTATGCTACACTTGCATTTTGGTGTAATAGTGATACATGTTTAAGGAATAATGGAGAATCTGTCAATATTAAACTGTTCATACATTAGAATTTTTAAAATTCATGTCTGGAGTACCACATTGGCACATACATATAACAAATTAACCTCCAGTATAACATCACACAAGATTCAGAGAAATTATGTTATGCACACTGATTTTTAACCATTAAAAAACCATACTTCTCTTTCTTTTTTTTCTTCTGGCAGAAATCAAGTAACTAAGGCTTTTGAGAGTATCACAACACCTAGTTCAAATTCCTATCTGTCCATCTCCTTACCCACAATAATGTTTAAATCCTTTTGTATTTACTGGAAACGTAGCCTGCAAAAGAAACACATCAAAACATAATGCAATGACTACACCACCCATCAATCTTCAAGATGCTTCTGGGGATCTCAGGATGGAAGAAAATCAGCTATAATTTAATATTACCCATGCCATGCCACATAAGTCATAGAGCTTTCCAGGAACTCCTAACATGAGTTGTATCAGAAATAGATTCCTAGACCTTAAACATATGTTAGAAGCACTAAATTTAGGGAACCGATTTCCCACTCTGAAATCTGAGCTTCAGTGTTCACTCCCTTATAGCCAAGTCTGCTTAAATATATACTTACAATTTAAAAGCCAAAATATGTATGTGTGTATGTTTTTTGACAAGAGTAAGGTCTCCTAGACAATTTTTTCCTCTTCCCCATTCAGTTTCTTTTTGTCCCCCACATAATAGCATAATAATATATTTTATTCAAAGTCAGCCCAGCCCTGGGAACTGACAGGAATGCAGAAATAAAATATTTTAGAATAGCAACCTAGGTTCACCAAGAGTTACAGTCTATACATCCACCCTAATTTGCAAGTAACCATCTCCAGTATCTGTGATGCCCAGACCACCTCTTCTACCTCAGCAATATTTGCAGCATGGGCTCATGGCTAGTCCACCCAAATAAGAGAATTTTGTCTTATGTAGCTGTGGCACAGAGATACCACTGAGATATTAACTTCAGTAGAGAATCTAGCTTGTTTTGGGGTTCTGTGGGTTTTTTTCAGGGGTTTTGTGTTTTAAGAGAAGAGCTCCAGAAACCAAGATTCTTAGATATAAGAGACAGATTCTTCAAAAGCATGGTGACCAGGAATAATTAGTTCAGTTCATAAACAGCTGAAGATGTTTGCTTTGTTTCTGCAAAAATCAGTCTGCTTTAGTCAAAAAACAGGGTTGATAAGGAATTTATGTCTATATCCAGCACACTGAACTAATGAAAGCAATTTTAAATGCTGGTTTTGTTCATTAATTGGATTCCAATTTCCATCCAAATGTTGCCTGATGGAAATCAGAAGTTAAAATTAATCAAGCAAATTAGAAAATCACCATTCATAATTTTTAACAGAAAATGGAAAAAATACATTACCCAAAGCAAATAGCAAATTGCATACCTGTATAAATAGAAAGATATATTCAGTGTAAGCAAAAGTACAGACTACTCTAAGGCTTTCAGAAAGGTAACTAAAGTACAACTCTTTCCTGGAGCAGCTTGGATACACCTCCTTCCATACCTCCTCCAAGTCCCTGAGCTCCAACCTTCTGTCCCTAGCCTAACAGTCCATACCAACTATTTATTTTCATTTTTTTTTAAATATTTCTCTTTTAAATTCCCACCATCACCATCCAAGACAAACTCATCTGTTGGCAAATCCTGTAATCCCTGGCTGCTTCCCCATTACACTGGGCTTATCTGGAGCCCCTGCACTGCAGGCAGCATCAGGATTATCCCCCTCACTCCAGCCAGACCCTGCAGCCCTACAGGAGATTTTCCTTTCTGCTGCCAGCCCTACCACATTAACTTTTAGGAAACTAGCTTAGCACAACCATAATTTCCTGGTTTCCAGAGCCTCATCAAGACTGAGGTTCCTCTCCTCCTTGGGATATTGCCACTAGTCCTTCAGCATGAGGGCTACTGCTCTACACCAGAGCTAGAAGCTGAGGAGTCCCAGCCAAGAAAATTTGCAGATTCACTCTTCTTTCTGCAATTCTTGCCTGCAGGGTTAGAAAGATTTGTAGAGACCATCTGCCCTTAGGCTAAGGTTGTTATAACTTTTCTCTGCCAACTCCTGGTGCATCAGTCCTATAAAGTGCAGCAAGCCACAGAGGAGAGCTTTTCCCTTACCTGTTAGATTGTCAGAAGGAAAAGCATTGCTGCTCAT